TTACGCAAATTTTAACACTAATTATGTACGATTTGTCATCAGATTCGGTAACACCCACAAATACCTTATGTAAACGGTTAATAGATTATATGAAACTCTTACATGATGCTAGAGATATATTGGATTATATAAGATGGTTTTAATTTTATAAGATTATAATAAGATAGTTAGTTTAATATGAATATACTTTATACTTTTAGATTGGTGATGGTGACGAGTTTTCTAGTCAATACTGTCGACTCTGACGAAATAAATGCATCAGAGTACTTTTCGTATAAGCCTTATGGAGTTGGCAGGGGAATACAATATGAAGGGTTGGGGCCAGTTAGATTAATAGGGGCTCAATACAGTCTTGTAATGTTTTCTCATTAAAAGAATATAACACGAAATATGAACTATTGGGGGAAAAAATAAAAAATATAACAAATTTATGTACTGACCAGAAATACCAAGATTTATGTGGAAAATATCAAATAGTAATTACAGATTTATATAATGAAATAACTAAACAGAAAGAACGTACGTACGTCACTAGGAAGTACTATAGAGGATGATAAACATAGAAAGAAAAGAGGATTAATAAACATAATAGGTAACACCATGCATACATTATTTGGCGAATGTGATGACAAATGCACTAAGAAAACACGAGAAGCTATAAAAAAACGGAAGAATCAGGAACTAACATATTACACATAATGGAAACCCAAACCACTGTAGTAAAATCAACTATAAGAAGTATTGGTAACACAATAAATTAAACCGAACAATTATACAATAATATTACGGAAAAGGAACAACAACTATACGAAAAAATGTCAAAAATACAAAACAAAACAAATGATATATTAGATTTACTAATGAAAAATGAAATACATAATTTATACACAATAATTATAAATCAATATTCCTACGAAACAGAAACATTGGGACAAATAGTAACCGCCGCTAGAGAAGGTATGATACACCCAAGTCTTATGACACCGCAAGAACTAGCATCAACATTAAAAACAATAGAACAAAATATAAAGAAAATATACAGTATTCCGATGGGAACAAGGAGATGGAAACTAAATGAATTTCAAAAAATTACAAAAATAAGAATCTACTATTCGAACGACAGATTAGTATTTGATATAGTAATACCACTGATTATTGACACTGAACTTACATTATACAGGTTAACACCAGTGCCAATGCGTCATAACCAAGATAATTCTAGTGGATGGTACATGATGGACATTATTTACAATAATATTGCTGTAACCAAAGGTTATAAAAGGTTTACTACATACACAGATTAACAATTAAACGAATGTAAGGAAACATCAATATACAAAATATGTAATACACCACAACCTATACAGGACAACAATGAACGCCAACCATGCGAAGTGCAAAACTTCATGAAATCTGACACATATTCTAATCCTGAGTTATGTACAGTAAAGAAAATTAATTTAAAGAGAAGCATATACCAATAATTAAAAAGAAAGAATACATGGATTCATGCAGGAAAAGAGACATTAACAATAAGTTGCGCTAACCTAATAGATCCATTCATAATAGAAACAAATGAAGCAGGAGAAATAACCATAAACGACATCAGTTGCCAAGTATTTACACGGGACGCAGTATTAACTGCCACGGAAGAAATACAAAATATAAAGACTTCACACCTGTAACTAACATGAATAATATTTTAGAAAAAATACCAGAACATATACACAAATTCGAAACAGATGAAAAATGGGAAAAGGGACCAGCTATGCAATTCACAGATTTACACGATGCATCCAAATCTTTAGACGAAGTACAACAAATGATTAACCAAGAACTTTTAAGAGAACAAAATCAAAAACAACAATTTGTACACAGTAATTTGCTATATGTAACAATAGTACTGGCATTAATATCTATTATACTAATAATAGCAATTTACATAATGATAAAATGCAAGTATATCAGGACCACAGAAGTCATGGAATTTCCCGGCAGAATATTTAGATATAGGACACCCAATAGAAATGACTACGTACGAAATTATGAAGAGACACCCTTTACTCCACCACCTTCACCAAGATAAATTAATTAATTAATTAAAAAAATAATAATAATAAATAAAAATAAAATATATGTTAAAAAAAAAAATTATATTATACAATAATAATAATTAAACTAGAGATAAACGAATAATTTAATAAATAAATAAGAAGCTAGGTATACGTAAACTAATAAAGCGATACTATATATATAATTATGTTTCAGGAAACAATCAAGAGGAATTTCAAAATAGATATAATAATATATATAACATGAGCGAACCCACACCAATGCCTGAGCCTAATGTTTTTTATAAGGAACTAAGGGATAGGTTACTAAATGATACACATGATCAATTGGTACTAAGGAACACAATATATGTACGTTGTTTTGGACAACACGTAATAGACGCAAATAATAATATGCAAGTACCTTTTAACGAATCTGAACTTGAAACCGTTATGGGTCCGTTAACAGCTTTCTTTTGCACTAGATGTAACCGCGAACCAGCCTTTAATTCAATGTGTTTAAAAATCCCAGAAATATTAGATCAATATTATATTCAACACCAAATTTATAGCGAAGAACATATTCGATAAATAAATTAAAAAAATTCATTAACAAATAAATAATATAACGAAATAAGGAATAAAAAAAAAAATAATAAAATATAATATTATACGTGCATAAAAGAAATAATACGTAAAACAATATTCTATAAATTAAATAAGATAATATTACGTGCATAAAAAAAATAATATATATATACGTAAATAATATTCTAAATAATAATTATATAACAATAACATTTAACTATTTCAGAAATTAAGAAGAAAAACAAAAAAAATATAAAAAGCACATGTAAAAATTAAAGTATAAAAATGGGTGAGAACGTACCACCTGTAACACGAACCGTTCGAATGCAACTACAAACATTTGAATTTCTCAGAGAGTTGAAAAACGAATTAATTGAATCGACCAATCATACACAGATAATGCGAGGGGAAGTAGTCAGATTACATTGCTTCCCGGAACACACAAGAAGGGCGAATAATAACATATAATACCATACCTTTCAGGCCAAATATCTTAGCACGAGTTATGATCCATGTTAATGACTTTGTACGCACGGTTATCGTAAGACCAAATCATAATAGACCCATGTGTGTAGAGTTGGGTTTACTATTAGAACAGTTGATCAGGAGGCGTGTGATCATCGAAACGATTTTTGAAGAATAACCTCAGGAAACATATATTATATACATAGCAATAATTACTAAGAAACCAATTAATTTTAAAAAATATATAATTATTTTATTTTAGCTCACAGATACGCTTTTTTATAATGGACTTCGAGTTCTTTACCGTCAGTAAGAACGAAACATTACTGGTATCCGGCGCAATATCGAATAGTTTAGAAAAGTACCAACCCAAGAAATTGGAGGGGAGTCCTCTTATACTTACAAAAGATGATAAGTTAAGAAGATTCCGCCGATGCGACCTAAAGAATATAGTGCAGAATATCAAACGAGTATTCCGAGGGAAAAAGGCAAGAGTGATTGAACCATTGCTGGAACAATTATACAAAAGTGTAAGTCACCAGGGGGAATCGACCTTGTCTACGGTATACTTGCAAAGATATTTGCACATAAACGATAGGGAGCCGCTAGTAGTATTTTGGAACGGATCATCAGATATCACGATAATTAAGCGTTTAAGGTTAACAGGAATTTTAGCATATTTAAACATATCTGCAATTAGCGTAAGGAATAATGATGATTTTATATTAGAATTAACAAACCTAGAGACTAAGGAAGTATTATATTCGGGATATTTAGGTAAATTAAATAAAAATGGTAGAATGTTAGGATTGTCAGAAGCTCATGAACTAGCATGCGATATTAATCATAATATTACACATTGTCATGATCCGGTTGCCGACGTAATTTTAACGAAATGCCTATTCAATTATATAGTAACAAAAATAAAGCCCATTAAATTATATAAATTAGCAAAAAAATATAAAAGGAATTTTAAGGCAAAATAAATAATAATTATTAGTTAATAATAAATATAACACAAAATAAATTAAATAATGAAAACAAATAAATTAATTAACATTTATTATATATTTTAGATTCATTGAGGAGCTAAAAACTATTTTAAAAACAGAAGTACATATTTATAACGTTAAAGAAAATAAATTGCAATCCGTATGCTTTAATTGGCATATATTAAAGGCAAACAAGAAAATAAATAACCATTAGGATCATAGAACTTTAAATAAAATAACTAGAAGCCTTGAACTTTTCATAAATGATCATTGTAATGGAGAATGCAAACAATTAGTAAAAATAATAGAAAACACTAGAGATCCAACTTACATGATGAATTACCTTAAATAGAACCATAGTTGCATATGTCTATGGCAAATCTAACGATTATTCACATAGATTAGTATATAGGTGGAAGATGATAATTATTATTATATAAAAGGGGAAAATACTTAAATTTTATACTTACGTAACGCTTATAATGTTATAATTTCAGGTACATATATTATTTTATTAAAGATTATTAATCATTCTTATTAACACTATTTATTTAATTAAATCATGTATTAATTTTATTTTACTAAACCACAATATACAAATTGTAATATGAATAATAAAAAACAATAATAATAATAATAATGATGACATTAAAAATTGTAAAATGTTCACATTATTGTAATCAAATGTTATTTTTATTTTTTTTTTATTTTATTTTATTTTAAACGCCATACAGCTTTTACAATATATTACTTATTAATGAATATACATTATAACATATTTTTATGTATATACATATCTAAACATAACACATTGAATATCAATAAATTAAAATTATACAGTAGTACATAGTAGGCTCCTGAAAATTAAATTTATCGGAACAAAAACCTAAATTAGAAAAAATGTTTAACTAGTTTGACTATTAACTAAAGACATAGCTCTCCTTAAAGGATCATCATCCAAATAATTTTTTGACACTGAAGCAAGGTAGTAGGGGTCACCAGATCGGGTTGTACCTGGAATGCGAAAACCTATTCTAGATAACAAGTCTGGTGAGTCAATTACACCAGAGACTAAACCATTTAAAAGTTTAATATCACTCATATTTCTTCTTTCGCTTAGGGTGGATAAATTGAGTGCTATTAAGACGGGTTTATAGTCATGGGGTTCATGATTAATGCCCATAGATCGAGAAACCATGCTTAAGAAACGATGCTGAACACGTTCAATTCGAATAATATCACATTTGGTCCTCGGAGACCATACCACAGATCCATACTCTACAATTGATCTAACTAGAGTAGCATATAATATTAACAAACATTTTACAGACATGACCGACCCTGCATGTCGCCTAATAAACCCTAATGATCGCAATGCTTTGCCTACTATCCAGTCAATATGAGGTGCAAACGATAACGTTGGAGTAAAAATAAAACATAAATCTTCAACTTGGTTTATTCGCTGTAACATCACGTTATCAATAGAGTAATCATATTGAATAATTGAGTGACGTCTCGAAAAAGACATAACTTTACATTTATGGATAGCCAGCTCTAACCCAACTGTATTACACCAATGGACTAACTTATTCAACGATTCTTGTAACAAAATAGCATCACTCTCAGATTGAACGCAATTAAATAATTTTACATCATCCGCAAATAATAGCATTTTGCTGTCAACAGATTCGCATAAAGTATTTATTAGAATATTAAATAAAAGTGGAGACAAGTGCCCACCTTGTGGGACTCCGGAAGTGACTAAATATTCCGCGGATTTTTGATTAAATAAGGATACAAATTGTCGTCGACCGGTTATATAGGATTTGAACCAGGATAGCAGAGGTTCACCTACACCCAATCTATCCAGAATATCAATTAACACAATATGGTTTATGGAGTCGAAAGCTTTAGAAATATCAGTGAATATCACATCAACTTGACTCATATCTTTGAAGCTATCCCTGATAAACGCAGAGAATTCTAAGGCACTAGTTGTTGTGGAACGACCGCCATAAAACCCATGTTGATTTGTTGATATAACTAGTTTAAATCTACGTTCAATACATTTATTAACAATCTTTTCGAATAATTTACCAATTAGAGGTAAACCAGAAATTGGACGATAATTAGATACTGACCCTGGGTCTCCTGATTTATAAATAGGTGTTACCTGGCTCGTTTTCCATATAGATGGAAATATACCTTCGGCTAATGAGAGGTTAAATAAATACAATAGAGGATATTTTAACTGTGCCCTAATACTAAATAAAAATTGAGCTGATATACCATCAGGCCCACGACTCTTAGTTGTTATCAGGGATAATAAATTTTCTTCTACCTCATCAAGTTCAATAGTAAGTCTAGAAGGCAGAAATGTAAATGGTTTAATGCCAATATTTTCAGCATTCCAATGTGGGGGCGGGGTAACGGTGATTTATAAACGGAATTGAAAAGAAGTGCAAATAGATTTGCAATATCTACGTCTGATGCAATAATATCACCATAATGCATCACATTTGGGATACCTGATGTATTTCGGCGATTATTGATAAACGACCAAAATGTATGTGGGTCATTCTGGAGAGAAGTATTTATCCTACTTAGATAGGACTCATATGCCAACCTTGACTCGAGTTTGACTTGAGCACGTAAAAACGAAAATCTATGACGATAGTGCATTGTGCCAAACTGTTTCAGTTTTTTGTGTGCAATTTTTTTTATCAATGATTAAATTTTTCAATTTAAGTGTTACCCATTTGGGGAAAGTTGAGCGACGAAATGTATGAACTGGTACATATTGCTCAATTAACGTTATTAAAATTGTTTGTAGACGACTAGCTGCAGCTTCAATTCCAAGATTATTAAACTCACTTTCCCAATTAATGGAACTCAGAATATTAGTAATCGAGTTATAATCGGCATAATTAAAATTACGGAATGAGTGTTGATCATCCAATTGAGGTGGCACATCGAGCATGGAATATGTAATGTCTAATGGTGGATGATACTTATCTGGCATAACTAATGAGTCTGGTGATGTGTCAACAACTATGTCTATTTCAGATGTGAAAACAAGGTCAAGGAGTGAACCAGCCTGGTTTCTAATGGAATTATTTTGAGAAAAATCTAAGAAACGATATACATCACCTATTGCCTTGACATTATCATTAACAGTACCCGATAATGACAATCCCGAAACATTATTATGCCAATTAACATTTGGTAAATTGAAGTCACCACATATAATTCCCATATTACACCCAGAAGACTGCCACAATTCATCAACAGTTTCAGCATGTGCCGTGTATAACTCGATTGGGGCTGACGGTGGTATATATACTCCTATTAGTAATAAATGTTTCTTAGATATAGATAATTTAATAAATAGCTGTTCAACTGACTGTACAGCACAACATAATATAGAGGGACATAATGTCTGTCTCACCGCTATCAAGACCCCACCACCTCTAGTGCATGTACTGGTATATGCATTTCTATCAGCTCTGAATATTGTACTATAATACTGTAATCAAATTGTTAACTGTATATAAAATTTAAATATCAATGTAAACAATGTAATTCAACCATTGTAAACTATTAATTAACGATGTTAAAGATTCTTAACCCTTAAAGGTTAACAATCTTTTTTTTTGGTAGGGAGGTGTAATGGGATTACGTAATATCATGTATTTGCTCATAAAAACAACCAGGAATGCGACCACACCCAAAAGTGTTTTCGACTAAGAATACCACTCTTAGTCGTGAGGTCCATATCAAGGACGACTGTACACGCGCCGCTCACTTCAAAGGACGCCGCCACCATATATATAGGGGACAGCGAGACAGCCTGAGTAGATGTATCCAGAGACGAGAACAACATACGACTCGCTTAGCCGCCCAGCCATCACACACAACTTACACGGAGATTATCAATTTTGGAACGAGCTACAATTCGCTACAATCAACACAACTGTTCTGCTTATTTTGTCTGGTTTAATATAATACATTGATTACTATACTAATTTGACTATAATTATTTATCAAAGTACATCAGCTTTTGGATCCCTGAAGGGCCGCATGTAACACCCGCAACGTTTAATATGTAACACGATTGTCAATGCCTCACCAAAATTATCAATCGGATTATGATCTTGATCAACTAATTGAACGGTTATCGAATCAATATTTGTTTTATTCAATTTGTAATATATTAAATTTGGTGGTGACTGAATTACTTTCGACCCTGTCCTTTCACTCGGGAAAAACTCATAAATCGAATGACTCTGAAGATTGTTGTTGAATGATCCTTGAGCTATATTACACATTACTTTTATAGAATTAATTGTGTTTAAATTTACAGCTTTTCCCGATCGAAGAATTTCAAAGTATGGCTTATATACTCGTTTTTCAAAACTGAATACAGGTGCTATACTATATGGATACTCAAAGTGTAGTATCCCATTACATTTTATATACGAACTGAAATCATTAGGACCAACCGTAATGTCGAATGTTAAATTGGTTAAGTTTTTACTATTATAGGCATCTATTTGCTTCTTAACTCGTTACTTAATATCTTCAATCTCATAACAACCCTCTTCCAATGTAATAAAACATATCATAGGATAATTATTGTTTTCATTATCAACTACTTGTATAGAAAAATTATTATTATTTTCATTAATATTTGGGAATGAATTAAATGACTGTAAACATAACAAAGCTATTTCTGATTCCTCGTAAAGGTTTATAGGTGGAAAATAATTTACAGATTAATATTTTAGCATTCCCAGTTAAACTTAAAGTAACTGACTCGTACATTACAAAATCTCAATGGTGGGCATTAACTTGTTAAAAAGTTAAAGTTAAGTTAACAAGTTAATTTTTTTTTAACTTTTTAACTTAACTAGTTAGTTTTTTTTGTTTTTAACTTATTAACTTATTCAGTTAAATTTTGTATTGTTTAAACTTAACTTTTTAAAGTTAATTATCATTATTGTACAGTTAAGTTAATTAAATTAAATTTTTATCATGTGGAACCAAGAGACAAAACTTATTCTTTCTATTTTGCCATTTTGGTAATTTATTTTTCTAATAATATAATATCATCAATTCATAATAATCAAATTATATTATAATCTGTAGGTACTATAGTAAAGACTAAAGAGTAATAATTAGTATACTATCCTTGTATCGACTGGCTATTTTCACGAATTATATTATTTAATGATTTAATATTATTTAATGGTATTGAATAATCCGATTTTTGTTTTATCTAACTCTCCAATTCCTAAAAACAGGTTTAAAACTAAATATCATAGTCTTTAAATGGATATCATTATATCAATAATATATACTGGTTACTGGTAAATACGACAATTCCAATAGACAAAACAAAAAGTCGTCCGAGATATTTATAAATTATAATTTATATTGCCGTATTCGTTATAAATACAAATAAACGTATGCGATTAGAAAATAACATTATCGAAATAAATATGGAAACAATTTTTGGTAGGTATTATACTATTATCATTATTCATTGATTTTATTTTAATAATAGACTATTATAATGGTACTAAATGACAAATATTTAAAAACAGCCTATACCTATTAATATTATGACTTAAAAAAAAAATTAACTTTTTTTTAACTGAGTTAAGTTAATTTTATTTTCCATCTTAACTTTTAACTTAACTAGTTAAATTTTATTTTTTTGTTAACTTTTAACTTAACTGAAGGCAATTTAATTGAATTAACTTAACTTTCCACAGTTAATTATTTTCATTAACTTGCCCACCATTGCAAAATCTAAGATATACATTTAATGATGAGATCCGTGACGTTTAATATGTAGAACAACTGTTAACGTCTCGTTAAAATTATCAATTGGATTATTGTTTTGGTCAACTAACTGAACAGTAATTGAATTAATATCTGTTTTGTTTAATCTGTAATATATAAGGTTTACCGGAGATTGAACGACCTTTGTTCCTGTTTTCCCACTCGGGAAAAACTCATGTATCGAATGACTTTGAAGTTGGTTGTTGAATGACCCATGTGCTATATTACACATTACTTTTATAGAATTAATCGTGTTTAAATGTACAGCTTTATCCGATCGACGTTCTTCATGAAACGGTCCACAATTTTTCTTTTTAAACCCAAAAACAGGTGCTATACTATATGAAGTATTAAATCGAAGTATTCCATTACATTTTATATACGTTCTAAAATCGACAGGATCCATACGTATACTGAATGTTAGATGTGTTCCGTGGTCGTTATTAACTTGAGATAACTCTTTTGCCATATAATTGTTAATATCTTCTATTGCAAAGCATCCGTCTTCCAAACAAAATTCAAAAATGCGAAAGTCATCTTTGTTTTTCTTTGGAGGAATTGTTTCTAATTTCAACCGGTTATTAGTTCCATTTATAATATTTGGAAATGAATTGAACGTTTGCAAAGATAACAAAGCTATTTCCGAATCCTCGTAAGCGTTTAGAGATGGATAATAATTTGTAGATAATATAGTTGAATTTACAGTCAAACTTAATGTAATAGATTCATACATTGTAAAAATTCAAGGCATAAATTACCACAGTTCAATGTATTGAAGTCTTGATAGTTGGAATAGTTGTGTACTATTTTGAACTGTCTGAAATAATGTTGTAATTCAATTGGTGGTGACAAATCACCAAAGCTATCAAAATATACAACTTTGTCCTTATTTTTATAAAACACTACCCAATGGCTTCCGTCGCCTGAGGATATTAACAAGTTTAATATACCACATTCAATCGTATGCGGTTTTTTAAGTAAGTTTTCACGTGAAAATACTCCACGGAAATGATTGATTTTCAGCTATCCAACATATTTTATAATATCTGGAGACGAAAGCGGCCTGTCAGGTAGCGTGATAGTTTTTTTTTCTTAACCTATTCTTGTTTGATTTCAAACCACTACCTTTTTTCTTTTTGAATTTTGAACCGCATTATACACACTAGCACTTCCAGACATCAAACTACCAAGTGCTGACAATCCCGAAAATAAAGGTATTAAGGGAATTGCACCTCCTGATTGTCGCGGTACTAAAATCAGCCTTTTACCACCATTCTTTTTTTTTTTTGAGATTCTTTTTTTCTTCGCTGCTAGTATACCATTTGTTCTTATAGCAGGTTTCCGTTTACAGCCCATAACTATTTTTCTTTTAGCTTTCATCGCGTTTGTTACTGCGTATGCGACTAATTTCTCTTTTCTAGGTGTATCTTTTGCTTTAAATCTTTCCCAAGCACGATTTTCTAACACTTGATCAGCTTTATGTCTATCGTCTAAATTTTTAGTCGTTGCATACACAATATCGTGATCACGACAAGCAGCATCCATTAGGTTTATTCCTTTATCGCCACGATCTAGTCTCTTTTTTAATTTCGTGCCAGGACCACAATACTGATATCCTGAAACATGGGCTTCGAACGGGATACTATTTATAAGGGAGTTTACAAATCCTTTTCCAGTCTTGACTGACTTACACTTACGAGTTGAACGTGTCATCGACAACTGATTATAAATTGGAATATTCTAGAGTATTTATAAGAAAATAATATGGATTTGATAGAACAGAAAGATAAATTGGATGTCACAAATGTAGATGTTCAGGTAGTAAAAAAACCATCAAGACATGGTTCGTTATTACCCGATACTATACGTGCTATACTAGTTGGTCCCAGTGGCTCAGGAATAACAAATATAATGTATAATCTGATCACACATGCAAACGGATTAAGATTTGAAAATATTTATTTATACTCGAAAACCTCTAATCAGGAAAAATATGTTTTACTGAAAAAAATAATAGATGATATAAAAGGTGCTAATATTTTCATTTTCAAAGGTTATAAAACCAAACTTAACCAAGAAAAATTCTATTATCATTTTTGATGATGTGATATGTGGTCCACAATCCGTAATCAGAGAATACTTTAGCATGGGTAGACATTCAGGTGCTAGCTCTGTATTTTATTTAGCACAGACATATTCTAAAATACCAAAACAGCTAATAAGAGATAACTCAAACTTTTTAATGATACTGAAACAAGATGATACAAATTTACGACATATATTCAACGATCATTCGTCTACAGAAATGAATTTCTCAGAATTCCGGAAAATTTCCCATTTATGTTGGAATTACAGCGATTAAGGGTTTCTGGTCATAGATAAAACTCGAGAAATGAATGAAGGAAGGTATAGAATATGTGGTTTTCATACATTCACTATAATAAAATAATTTTATGTGCTTATACCTATATATAAATATACCATCACACAGTTATTATCCGCATAGTGTTATCAGTAGTCATACGATACAGGTACATTACATTTATTATTTACAATGAACAAAGAAAAAGTCTTGTTGGAAAGTTTGATAACATAAAAAAAAAAATATATAACGAAAAATAATGGAAATGAAACGTGGTGTTATAGATTCTGAAAACTATTTCTGTGACGCATTTAAACCAATAATTGAACCATTGAGTACACATGCAAAACAAAATGCAATATGTGACACACGGTCAACTGAACTAGAAAATAAATCAGAAACCGCATGCACTAGTGAAGAAGATAATGATGACGAATTAAATTCAACATATGAAAATTTTTAAATAATCGTCCTAAATCAACACGTTATGATAAATCCTATGGTATGCATTATGATAAAGATAGTGATTCATATAAAATAGGAAAATATTCTGTAACTTTTAGTCACGGTAAATTACTGTTGCTTAATAAATACTATGAATTTACACCAGGACTATTGTCTTTATTATGTGAGAAGGAACCAAATAATACAACTATAGCAGATATAGAATCTTATACAATATTTTGAAAACTTCTGGAGTCCATTTAAAAGCAGATGGAAAACCTAGAACCTCAAGGTATCATAAATGGGTGACTGTTGTAAAACCGTTGTATGATCGAATGAAAATGGAGGAAAAACAGTTCAACGAAGAAATAGATAAAATTAATGAGAATACTACTCCACGAATTAACTTAAAATCGTTTAACAATACTTTACCTTCTACTCCTTTTGGTTTATTTAACGATAAACGTAGAAAAATAACACAAGAAAATGACCCATTTGATTTTAATTAATCAGCAAGCAGTTTTTCACCTTCAGACCACATGTCTACAGATATGATTAATTTTACTTCATTACCTGATCCCAAGACAGGTAGTGGTTTATATAAAGATGTATTACCTCAAACACAATTAGTTTATTATGACGATCCGAATGAGCTAGTTAATAGTTTAAATCTTTTGACATCATCACAAAGTGTGGGTAATACTGGTATTAATAATGAAATCATATCTATTTTAGAAGAACTGAGTGAGAGAAATATTATAGTATAATGACAACCTTAGAGAGTATAGCTAACGAGCTACATCGGCCAGCGAGAAGAATATTTCCTAGACGCAGTGTTGTAACACGGTTTATTGACGACCTCTGGCAAGCTGATTTATTAGATATGCAATCTCATTCTAAAAAAAATTATGGTTTTAAATTCATATTAGTTGTAATAGATACAAATAGCAAATATGTATTTGTGGAACCGCTGAAAAATAAATCAAGTAAAGAATGTACAAAAGGAATGTTTAATATATTGAAAAAAGCAAATGCAACATTTTTACAGACATATAATGGTACGGAATTTTACAATGCTCAATTTCAAGATTTAATGAAAAAATATAAAATTAAATATTACAGTAGGTTATATTTCCTCCAAGAAATCTTTATCATCCTGTACTTCCAGTTAAAATAAAAATGGAAAAAAGTGAAAAGTTATTATTTCCTTTGTGTTATAAATTTGCTGTAGACCAAAATCAAAGATGTGATCATTCTAAAAATGAAAGACAACTTATAGGAACATAGACAACAGATGAAGTTAATAAAGATTTGGAAAAAGGATATATTATTACAAAAATTTATGAAGTGTGGCATTTTGAAGAGTAATCAACAGATTTATTTAAAGATTATGTAGATAATTTTATAAAAATAAAATTAGATAGTTCAAAACATAATTATAGCTGTAATGATGAGTATATAAAAACAATTTTCGATTAAATGGGTATTTTATTATGTGTTATAATTATAAAGATTATTATTTTGAGAATTTTCATAATATAAATATAATAGCTTTATTTACAACATCTAGTGCAATTAGTGCAATATTCTACAAATCTTTTTAACCAAGCTGTTGCTTTCTGCAGTCGTGACCAGGAGGAGTAATGTTGAACCAACTCTTGATTAGATTGAACTCCAACTAATGCAAATTGTATTGTGCGTTGCTCAGGTATTTCTTCTTTCTTCAATATGTTTCTTGGGACCTTTTCCCACAACTCGTCTGATATGCCTAACCAATCAGGTCCGTTCCACCAAAGTTTAGAAGCACTTATCTCCGTTACGTTAGTACCTCGAGATATCATATCAGCAGGGTTCTTATCTGTTCTTACATAATTCCATTGCGATGCATTTGTAAGCTCTAAGATCTGATTAACGCGATTACTGACGTACACCTTTAATCGATTAGATTGTGCATTTAACCAACTAAGAACTACAGTGGAGTCTGTCCACAAATGACACTTATGACGATCAATTTCCCAAGCATCCGTTAGCTTTTGGAGTAATTGTGCTAATACCAAGGCACCATTCAGTTCAAGACGAGGAATTGTTGAACCCTTTATTGGTGCTACACGACTCCTAGCACACAGCAGTCGAACCTGCCACGTATTTTCGGAACAGCGCGATCGTACATATATGCAAGCCCCATAGGCTTCTTGCGACGCATCACAGAACCCGTGTATTTGGAATTCATTTGGTTTGGGTAGAACCTTTCTTGGGATGGATACATTTTGCAGTTTCTCTAAATCCTTATGGAATGACATCCATCGATCATGAATGTCTGAAGACAAGGGACTATCCCAATCAATTTTCAAAGCCCACACCTGCTGTAAAAATATCTTTCCCTTTACGAGTATTGGGGATATAAAACCTATGGGGTCAAACACCTTGTTCAAATCGGATAGCAGTGTTCTTTTGGTCAATTTTGATCGTACTGGAGTTGGTATGACATTGAACCTGAACTCATCAAGTACTGGGTTCCAACATAAGCCGAGAGACTTGACCATTTCTTCATCTCCTAATTCCAAGGTGAATAAGGGGTCCCTGACATTTTTACCAATATGTCCCAAGACGTAAGAGGAATTCGAACACCATTTTCTTAGAGGTAATTTTGCAGAGGCTAGAATTGACGTTATCTCTTGATACAATTGAATACATTCAGCTTCGGTTTCACCTCCCGTCATCAGATCATCCATATAAAAATCCTTCGTTATCGCGTCCGCAGCTCTGGGAAAATGTTCGTACGCTTGTTGTGCCAACGTTACCAAACACTGCGTTGTCATGAAGGAGGCTGGTTTTGTACCATAAGTTACGGTGACCAATCGATAGGTCCGCAGAGCTTCACTAGGATTATTTCGCCAGAAAATCCGTTGGAGATCCCAGTCTTGTTCTGCCACAGCTACTTGTCGGAACATCTTCTCAATGTCAGACGAAATTACATATTGATATTTTCTAAAACGCGTAAGAATTGAGAATATATCCTCCTGTGTCTTTGGGCCTCGCATCAATACGTCGTTGAGTGACAACCCTGAAGAAGTTCTCGCTGAGGCGTCAAAAACGATTCGAATTTTAGTTGTTAAACTTGAGCTCTTGAATACTGCATGATGTGGTAAGTAGCATGATCGCTTAGGAATATTCGATTCCTTCACAACTTCTTGCATGTGACCCATCTCCAGATAATCCTTCATGAACTTCGTGTACTCAATTCGCAAGTCTGCATCTTGCTGTAGTTTTCTCTCCACACTGAGAAACCTAGATGTAGCTGAGTTGACACTCTGACCTAAATTAGTTAGGTCTGTTTTGACGGGTAATTGCAGAACGAAACGACCTTCCTCATTTCGTCTGAATGTGGACTGAAAATGTTCGAGCGCATGGTTTTCTTCGATAGAACACTGGTTTGCCTTTGATTGTTTGTCGTACAAAACATCCTCGTGGCCGAGAATTGCCTTAGATTCTTCTTCCAACGATCTGCCAACACTTAGCAGACATGTGTGGCTCAACTCACCGGTGACTATCCAACCCAACTTGCTGTCCTGCAAATATAACATCTTCACATCCAGCTGTATACGACTTGGCTGCAATATGTCAAAGAATGCACCACCTCCAATCAATAAGTCGATTTGTTTGGAATCACAGAAATGAGGGTCAGCTAACTGTGGTAATAGTTCACTTGGAATTGTCCAGCCTTCCGCTGGAGTACGAACAGGTTGAAGTTGTGACATGATAACAGGTAAGGTATGACAAGATAAGTTGAAACTCGATGAACCAAATCTGGATTCAACATGTACATCAACATAGGTACTAGACTGGAGTGTGTTTGCTCCTATGCCACTAACTGGAAGCGACGACCTTGCAGCTGGTAATTGTAGTTGTTTTGCTAGTCCCTTGGATATGAAGTTAACCTGCTAACCACTATCTAGTATGGCATGGCATTTCCTACGCACACCTTGATGGTCCCGTACTAGAACTACTGCTGTTGACAAAAATACGTGTCCATGTCCTTGATGAACTAGTAATGCCTTTTTTGAGCCAGTTTGTTTTGAAGACGAAGCTACACCTTCTTCAGGCGTGTCCTCGTCACTCACAGATTTCGAAGGTTCCCTTTTTCTTTCATAATGAAGTAAAGTATTGTGCTTCCCTTTGCAGACAAAGCAATTATATCTTGATTTGCATTTGTCAGCTGCATGTGCTGGATGAAGACAGTTGAAACATAGCTTAGTTTCACGTACAAAATTAATTCGATCTCCGACTGAAAGGTTCTTAAAACTGCTACATGTATACAACCTGTGCATGCTTGTGCAGTATGCGCATTTTTCTTTTACTTTGGATGCTGCTAAAAGAGCACCTCTTGAGTGGGCTCCAAACTTCTTACTACTCGCTGATTGGGTGAGTTGAGCTTCCTTCAATTGATTTTGTTTTGAATACCTTGTGCCCGAATTATTTGGAATAACCTTAGATTCCTTTTGATTTAAACCTACTGCCTCTGAACCTTCTAACGCCACACACCGGCTAGCCAGAAACGATTCGAGGTCCGAGTACTTGGGTAAGTTAGTGTTTCTCAGATGTAGTTGCCATCCGTGCCCGGTGCTTCTGTCAAGACGTCCTGTAACTATAGTGATTAACCACGCATCCCAGTGTTCGATTGGTTGGTCAAGCGCGCTCAGTGCGGCAACATGAGTGCTTACATGCGAATAAAGTTCTTGCAGCGCTGATGCTGATGGTTCTTCGATCCTTGGACATTCAAGAAGCGATCGTATGTGTGACTGAATTACAAGATTAGGGTTGTCGTATCGTCGCTTGAGCCTTTCAACAACTACCGAATAGTTGCCGTCGTTGATAGGAATTGAACGCACCAAGTCTAATGCTTGCCCTTGTAAACACGAACGCAGATAATAAAACTTCTGAGCATCTGAATATTCATTTGCTTCATGTACTATAGCACGGAAAATATCGAAGAATGAAGACCATTCTTGTATGTTTCCATCGAACGATGGCAGTGGTATTGGTGGCAGCTGATTCCGATTTCCTGAACTGCTGGAAATGTGCGAAGCATTGTGAACAGAAGTGTTTGATGCCTTATCTGCCTTGATAATTTCTTGCATCTGTGATCTTATCATAAAATAAAGTTCTTCAAAAATATTCCTCTCAGTTTCAGCTTCTACAGTATCTTCAATAGCAATCAATTCGATTTGGGACTGAATGTCATCAAACTTCCTGTTTATTTGTGGCAGCTCCTCCTGCCTGAACTCGAGTAATGAGACTGCTTGCTCACCGATAACGAAATTTGAAACAAAGGTTTGGGCACGTGTGAGGGCTGCTTTGACAACACCTCGTTTCCTTCTTAGCTCTGCTAACAATTTTAATTCATCTTCGCTGTACATCGTTTAGTCCTTACAAGAAATATTGGCACAAATGAAGGATCACAAATCAAGGTCGAATGTGACCGATACAACGAGGCAAAATTGATTTTAGACAAAAGGAATGAAAGCGAAAAGTTGAAATTTCTATTGCGATACTAATTGATTAAATATTATAATTAAATAACAATAATGAAGATGGCAATATTAGCTTGATTTTATATTATCAACTGACGTAGACAGATATTAATCACAAAATGAAAATGTAACCAATAATATCAATACGACGGAAGATAATAAGAAATGATTAATTCTAAAATGAATTAATATAACAATATCCGTAATCTAAGAAAATAATATTATAAATCACGTCGAGGTCACCAAATGTTTGGGCCGGGAACGTTTAATAATAAAACGTGAGCCCGGTTACCTATTTTCTTCGCTGCGAATTTTTAATACTTATATAAATATATCGTATAATACCTGTCGCACACCGACCAGATTGTGCACCTTGTGTGTGTATTTGTTTTAGTACTCAACAGGAATTGGACAGGTTCGCCGAGCAAGACCTGTGAGTACTAGTGTGCAGGTGGTGTGTGTAGGTGTGTATTTGTGGTTGTGTGTATACTTAAATAATAAAATGTCAAACGCGTATTTTCAATTTTGAAACAATATGTTATAATTATGCTTCAATAATATAAATATAATGCACAATATACAAATTAAATATTATGACCCTTTTTGGTCTAACAGACGCAATAATATAATAATTGTAAATAATAAGCTATTTGAGCAGCTAAGAATAATAAATATGCTCAATAGTATAAAATATATAATGCAGCTATTAAAGCTGTAATGGAATATAATAATAAATGTTACTCACAATATTGACGGTGCACGGCTGGCCAGCTGCTACCTATCCTATATAATACATTAAAAATCGACACACAATAATAATAATAACTTGAGAAATATAATTAACACTAAAAAATAGTAATGTAGGTAACGAAAGATAATAAGCAGTGACGAGTTGTCGCACAAGATATAAAACAATATAAAATAGTAATATGTCCAGCGCTTTGTGAGCACCAACACTAATGATGGCGATTTGCCTCACAATATTATAATATGCTCGGCATGAAAGGCGATTCGCGCCTACAACCAATATTATATACTATATATAATTAAAACTTCGGCGATTCGCACCTACAATGGTAATATTTATGTAATTACAACTTAGGCGATTCGCGCCTATAATGAGAATATTTTTGGATAACACGAGCGACCGGCACACGAAATAAAAAAAATGTTGCGCTCTTCGTTGACACCGGTGTGTGAACCTGGACTGGATAACTTTCGGCGGCCGTGCTAAAGTGTCGCGTCGGCGAACGTTCACGCGTAATCTACATATCATTATATAATTCACAAGATAACATAAAAACAATACAAAAATAATTAATTGATTTAATATATTGACAATCAGGTGTGTGCTGTGTATGCGTGTGTGTGTCGGTCGGTGGCGGAGTGGTGGTACGAGGTAATATAATAATTATGATATCCTACCCGTTGGCTTGGACAAACTGTGTATTCTATATCATAAATTTTATAATAAACAATATTTGATTTCATAACTTTTTCAACTGTAAATATTTCCTTAGACCAATTTGTTTTTAATTTATTTCTATAAACATCAAATATTGATGATAATCTAACTCTATCATTTATTTCAAATTTAGGTACAGAATTAGTCATATCATAATTATAAACAGTAGAAAGTAGATATTCCTCGTTTTCCTTACTTACATCAACAGGTTTCATTTTTATTGTTCTATGGTATGTATTATTATATTTCTTAATAATCTTCGGTAATTCAGAAATCCATACTTTGTCTTTATTTTTACTTATCTCATTACCAAATGTCCTGTTAAAACGTTCTATTATAGAAGCCTTTTTATCGGTACCTGTACTATACATTGTTATGTTATAGGTATTTATTTAGTATTTATAATAAATATCAAGATGAAACCCATCGAATGGTTGTGCGAGCGAGCCATCTTAACTCCAAAGAACGACAAGGCAGCCGAAATCAATGAAATTTTACTAAAGGCATTTAATGAAAAATCTGTTGAATATAAATCTTTTGATTCGGTGATCCAATCGGATGATGCTGTCCATTACCCTTTAGAATTTCTTAATACTCTGAATCCTTCTGGTCTTCCATCTTATAAACTTATCCTTAAAATTGGAGCACCTATAATGTTACTAAGAAATCTTAACCCACCTAAATTGTGTAATGGAACTAGATTGCAAGTTAAATCTCTGCACAAAAATGTAATAGAAGCTATAGTTATCACTGGGTGTGCTAGAGGAGATATAGTTTTAATCCCGAGAATAACGTTAATCCCAACTGATTATCCCTTTGAGTTTAAAAGAATACAATTCCCACTCAAAGTTTGCTTTGCTATGACTATTAATAAGTCTCAAGGACAATCATTGGGCATGGCAGGGATTGACTTAAGAGAAGAATGTTTTTCACATGGACAACCTATGTCGCATGTTCTAGAGTTAGCTCTGCCAGTAGTTTGGTTATTTTAGCACCAAAAGGCAGTACCAAAAATACTGTTTATAAAGAGGTATTGAGATGAACAAAATATGTCAATATAAATATTGGTGGATTTTTATAAAACCATAATGTTTTTGGGTATATTTTATTTCAACATTTCGTCGATTAGAATTGTATCTTACAATTTGTTTTCAAAATATTAAAATAAAGTAATTTTTTGCTGACTTCTGATTGTAACAATACATGGGCAACCTAGGATAAACTTATCTAAAAGCAGCCTGTAATAAATATAAAAACTGATAAAATAAAAGTTATAGTAGGTTACACAAAAAAACTGTACACGGGCGAAGCCGGGTTATTCATTATTTATATACGATATTAATTTATTTCTAACTTCATTATGTTTTGAAAGTTAAGATAATATATATTAAAAAAATAAACACTAGTTGATTATATCTATATGCACTGCATATCATATTATGTTATGACTTAAGGATTATTTAATTAATAACAAAAATATTTCGACAAGTACCTACTAAAATAGAAATGCTTAATTAATTGTCGACTTAATGTTATTTTTTTTTTTAATATTTTAAATGTTAAGTGATTAATTTAAATTAATACTAGAGCTATTTTCTTAAACATGTACCTACAGTGATTATGGGATAAATATTTTTATTTTAGATATTTTCTTAATATCTTATGTTAGAATTTCTGTTTGTTTCATCAATATTTATAATATAACACAAACTTAAATTATTAAGTATCAATTATTACTTTTCGCCATTCATGCCATTCTTTGGCTGTTTAACTCAGTTTGGCATTCCACCCACATTTTTTTTTTGCTCTTGCCGTTGTAAAATGTATTGAAAACTTGCCTTTCCTTAGATCGGATTGGTTTTCCATAAATTCCACCAATGCTTCTTTTTGTGACTGTGTCATTGACTTTCTCGCCATCGTACAAAAAAAAAAAAAAACAGAAGTAAAACAAAAAGAGACACAGGGATCGAGAACGGATAGGTCGCTATAAAAAAAAAGAGTGTAATATTGAAATATTATTTTGTATTTTGAATTTCCACTAATTGCGCGTGCTCATACAAATTTCGACCAATGAACGGACGACATTGCGACGTTGCCGTTCCGCACCATTCGAATAATATTCGTGCACGACCAGTTCTATTACCAACTATTCTATTGGCGTTCAAGAATACGGTTTTGAGTTGGTAGTAGAATATCTACCAGTAGAATGGTTCGTATACGAATATCGTTCTACTACTTTCAAAATAGGCCCCCAGGTAGATATTCTACTAAAATTGAACTTGAAATTTCTCAAATGAAAGAAAAACATATAATTGAAATGGAAACATTAAAAGTTGAGTTAGAAACTAAAAAAAGGAAATTAGAATTAATGAACTAAATTAATTTCATTAAATATTACATTACAATTACAATATAAATAACCAAAAGTTCCTTGTTATTTAATTTTTTTTATATTTTTTAACTTTTATTCATATAATTACAATATTATTATTACAAAAGTCATATAAGAAACAAAAAGTCCCTTGTTATTTAATTGTTTTTATATTTTTTAACTTTTATTCATATTATTATTAGAATATCTACCAGTAGAATGGTTCGTATACGAATATCGTTCTACTACTTTCAAGAATAGGCCCCCAGGGGGTCGATTCTTGAATCTCGTTAGGAAAATTACTCATGAGACATTTTCCGTATTGTTATGTCGTACGACATCTTAAATGACTATTCTTGAACTACACACGACATATGATTGTGAAACGAAATTATTTTGTCACAAATATATTTTTCACATGAACCAAGTTGGTTACTAACGCTATCATGATTATAATAAATAATAATTGTGATAACACCACCGGTATGGCGGTATTTTGATTAAATGATTGTTATCTATGTATCGTAATTCGTAGTAACAAGCACGAATTAAAATATACTAAAATATATATTTTAATTCGTGGTTACAAGTATAGTATGGTTACTAAAGTTTTTATAATTCTATACCTAGTTTTATAAGTTTGTATATATGATGTAAACTTATACTTACTGTTAAACAAAGTTACAACTTATAAGTACAATTAACAAGTTTATAAAGTAGGTACAATAATTTGTTTTTTTAATGGAAGACTCCAAAAAAATATATTGTTCGAAAACACAAAAAGAGATGCTCATCCAACTTCTGACAAAAGATTCACAATTGATTTCTGGGAAGTTTACAAGCACTTTCACGTTTAAAGATGCTCGTAACAGATGGATTGAAATCGCCGACACTTTAAATGCAATTCCCGGCTGTGTCAAAGATTGGAGTCAATGGAAAAGAGTAAGAAATAATTTAAATTACTTCTACATAAATCTAACTATAGGAAATAATCTATACCTTATTCTTATTGTTATTTTATCTTAAGACTTGGCAAGATTCACGTAGTAAGGTTAGAAGTAAAAAAGCTATGGTAAACAGACATGTAAATGGTACAGGAGGAGGACCACAAATATCGCAAACACTTACTCCAATCGAGAACCAAATTCTTGATCTTGTTAATCCTATCACAATTGATGGAGATGAGACCATTTCAATGCCGGTTACTAATTTTGAGTTTGGTGACATAAGCAGTTAGTGTTTTTAAATTTAAATTGGTCAATTTCTATTCTCTATAACTGCCTACTTAATATGTAGAAAGATATAAATGATGTAACACTTTTTTTTTAGAATTACCGATACAAATTGAATGTGTAAGTCCGGATGAAGGAATTAGTATGTATACTATACCTACCATGCAGCCTGTAGAGGAAAATAACTGTGCTATAACGCCTATAACCATTGATAGAGTGGAAAAAAAAATGTATGTATTAGTTTATTATCAATTTAATTTTTTTGCTTTTTTAAAGAATAATTATATATAAATTATATAGTTTAATTTAAAACTATCTAATATAAATAATATAATATACCAAATAAATAATATAGGCAATAAATAAAATTTTTTTGGTCATACCTAGAAGCTGTTGATGATAGTTTTTAAATTAGTTATGTAATACATATTTAATTATTTTTTATTGTTTTATATGTATTAACTTATAATCTATAGAGTGTGGTAACAATGTTTAGGTACTAAGTAGTACTATTAGGTACTATAATTTTACCCAATTAGTTTGATATTTAACTTAATACAATGTAGTGCAATGAAATATATTGTGGTGTATACCTACTGGCATTGATGGTATTTATGACATATTGACATGACATAATACTAATATGTAGTATACTAAAGCTGTTAAATATGATAGTAGTTACATGAAAAATATCAATGAATCATTGAGTCACTAAACTATAGCACAGTGATTGACTTCAATCAGTTGAATCAACTCAATCACAAATTACCCACCTTTAATATTATATAACAATTATTTTCATTTATTTTTATAACAAAGTTTACTATTATTCTTATAGGTGATAAAAAAAAGGTCGAAACATTATCTACTTCAAAACGTTTAACCAATAGTCTAGCTCTTGGTAGAGACATTTGTGAAATTGGAGATCAAAAACTAAAGCTAAAGGAAAAATACTATGAACAAAAAATTACGTTCGTGAACTTAGCGGCAATCATGTAACAGATTTCAATTAAACCTATCCAACAATTTTGTTGGACGTTTGTTGGACATTGTTGGAAAGGTTTTACAATTTGTTGGACCGTCATTAAAAAGTTATAAACATTTTTCCAAAACCGCCGCTAAGTTCACACTAACGGCCAACATTAAATCAAACACATAATAAACTATACAAAATTGTTCTCAGCGGTTTGTTGGACATTGTTGGGAAGGTCCCGCCATTTGTTGGAACTCTGTTTATTTTATACGAATTTTTGAAAAAGTGCCGCTAACTTCACACCATCGGCCAACTTTTTTTAAAAGTTCCAAAAGCCATCCAAAACTGTTGGCGACAGTTTGTTGGACGTTGTTTTAAAGCTCTCGCCATTTGTTGGAACTCTGTTGATTTTATACGAATTTTTGAAAAAATGCACTTGGACAACTTTTTAAAAAGTTCCAAAAACCATCCAATACTGTTGGCGACAATTTGTTGGACGTTGTTGGAAAGGTCCCACCATTTGTTGGAAGTCTGTTTGTTTAATACGAATTTTTGAAAAAGTGCACTTGGACAACTTTTTTTAAAAGTTAAAAAAGCCATCCAAAACGGTTCTATATGATTTCTTGGATATTGTTGGAAAGGTCCTGCCATTTGTTGGAACTCTGTTTATTTTATACGAATTTTTGAAAAAATGCACTTGGACAACTTTTTTTAAAAGTTAAAAAAGCCATCCAAAACGGTTCTATATGGTTTTTTGGACGCTGTTGGAAAGGTCCTGTCATTTGTTGGAATTCTGTTGATTTTATACGAATTTTTGAAAAAGTGACCCTCGGCCAACTTTTTTTAAAAGTTCCAGAAGACATCCAATACTTTTGGCGACAGTTTATTGGACGTTGTTGGAAAAATCTCGACATTTGTTGGAACTCTGTTCATTTTATACGAATTTTTGAAAAAATGCAATTGGACAACTTTTTTAAAAGTTCCAAAAACCATACAGTACTGTTGGCGACAGTTTGTTGGACGTTGTTTTAAAGCTTTCGCCATTTGTTAGAACTCTGTTGATTTTATACGAATTTTTGAAAAAGTGCCGCTAACTTCACACCATCGGCCAACTCTTTTTAAAAGTTCCAAAAGCCATCCAAAACGGTTCTATATGGTTTGTTGGACGTTGTTGGAAAGGTCCTGCCATTTGTTGGAACTCTGTTTATTTTATACGAATTTTTAAAAAAAATGTATTTGGACAACTTTTTTAAAAGTTCCAAAAACCATCCAATACTGTTGGCGACAGTTTGTTGGACGTTGTTTTAAAGCTCTCGACATTTGTTGGAACTCTGTTGATTTTATACGAATTTTTGAAAAAGTGCCCCTCGGCCAACTTTTTTAAAAAGTTCTAAAAGCCATCCAAAACGGTTATAAACCGTTTTTTGGACGTTGTTGGAAAGATTCTGCCATTTATTGGAACTCTGTTTATTTTATACAAATTTTTGAAAAAATGCACTTGGACAACTTTTTTTAAAAGTTAAAAAAGCCATCCAAAACGGTTCTATATGGTTTTTTGGACGCTGTTGGAAAGGTCCGGCCATTTGTTGGAATTCTGTTGATTTTGTACGAATTTTTGAAAAAGTGCCACTTGGACAACTTTTTTTTAAAGTTCCAAAAACCATCCAAAACGGTTCTATATGGTAAGACTCGGCCAACCCATAAAGTTCATGAATAAAGAACGTTCAATTGATTTTTTAGAAATCGCGTTATATTTGTTATGTTTAAAATACCATTAGATACTCTCCAATATATACCCTTCTACACGCCTGCTGACTAAACTTTTAATCTTAGAACATAACTATATTATGATGGTTAAATTGATATTACTACTTTTAAAATTGTAACATACAAATCATTTTCACAGAAAATCAGCTTCTTCTCAGTTGACTATCCATCGGATTAACAAAGAAAAATTTGATATTGATTTTATGTGAATTTAAAAGCAAGGCTGGGCATTAACGAGTTAAAAATTAAAATTAAGTTAAAACGTTAAGTTTATACTAACAGTAGCATTGTCAGAAATGGACGGTTTTAATATTAGTAATAAACAGCCATCGCCATCTGAAATCGCTCGAATAACCTTATCGGAATGTATAGCAACTGGTGAAATTGCATTGGACGAGGTAATTGATGTCGATGTTTATAAAGGAATAAATGATAACGACGAGTTTTATATCTCAGAAAATAATATTTCATCAGATAATGATTCACACATTTGTACATGGATTGATTATATACACTCCAAATCAAAAGATGAAGCATCAATTAGAGGGGATCGATTAAACGCTTTATATTGTCCAGGAATTGTAAGACCGCTATTAGGAATATGCCGTGAATTCCCTTTGTGGACAGGAGTCTTATTAGAGCATTTCAATTCTCCTAATAAAAGAGGATCATCGGCTCGAATAGAAAGTTACTTCGCCAATCTTAAAACATCAATTTTGTCAAAGAGAACATCAAAAATGAGAGCAGACAAATTTATAGTTACACATCTTCGAGCTCTCCGAGGGGACATTAAAATGGCTCAAAGCAACCTTCAGAGCATTGAACTATATAAAGAGAATGTAAATAATGAAGATTCTTTGAATGAAAAACAATTATCAGTAAGAAATATCAAAGTGTCAGACACTAATATTGTAATAAATAAAAAAGGTTACAATTATGATATTGATAATAACAAAAAAAATCTATGAAATGTATAATGAAACCCCTAAGAATAACACTTCTATAAATAAAGAAACAGCAATGCAAATTTTAACGACTAGTTCAGAAAGTGAAGATGAAAATAAAATAAATTATGATTTAAAAAATGATATAAAGGTATCACCAAGATATTTAGACAATTTTGAGGATATAGATGGAGGTAATAAAAAAAATTTGAAAAAAAATCTTTTTGCCATTCCCAGTTCAGACAGTTGTTTAAGTGGAGATGACATTACTACTGGTGATAGGGATGTCATAAAAACAACTTTGGTCAATTTAGAAGAGCAAGAAGGTATCACTGTGGAAAATTGGAGGAATAAAGGAGGTAAAAGAAATCGGAGATCCATATATTTAGATAATCACCCAGAAATATGTATTAAAAGAAAAAAAATTACAAATATGAAAAGGAAACGTCAGATCGATATAGCTCGGAATGGAACGTTATTACGCCCAATAACGGTCGATAAATGTAAAATCCGCGTACTAAACACATGTCCAGTAGACTCAATTTTACAAATTTTGGCTACAAGTATAATCGATTCTGTAACATATGCAAATGTTGCAAGAGTATCTGAATGCGAAATTATGAAATTAGCATACTACTTAGTTATGAATGGCACTAATATGAATTTTTACAAAAAAACGCATTTCAATTGTAAAATAGTATGCAAAAAGCAATGTGGAACTTGCACATGTCGTTCAATTTGATGCTCAAGCTAACACAAATGTATTAGTTGAAAAACTATTTCTGGAATCACCGAGTATAAATCAATTCAATACATGTAGTAATCATAAATGTAATCAAACAGTGACAGGATTACCACTATTCCCGATTGATCTCATGAAATTAGTTGAAGGTAATTTTATTAAAATAAAAATATTTAGTGATGAAAGTAATCATATTATTCGTATTAAAATATTAATTTAATTTTTATATGTTATAGGTTCATTTAATAATATGCAGGACGCTGTAACTATGTATCCATCACAATTAGCATTTTACAAACGGCCATGTTTAAGAGATGGATGCAAAGGTACACATACAATAACAAAAACATTAGGCCACCACGTAATTATAGAAACCGTGATGGATACATTTGATAGCAACAATACATTGATGTGTTATCTTAATGATGTTTCCGAGGAAATTTCCATAGAAAGCAATAAGTAAGAATATTTAAATACAAATAAAATAGGTAATAATATGGCATGCAAATTAAAATACTTTAAATATTATGTGAAATTAATTTAAATGAGATATAAGTGAAAAATGTATTACCATTAAGTCAATGATGTAAGCCATTGAAAAAAATGAGGAAATATGATATGTACAAAAAAGTTTAACTATCAATGTTTTTATAAAACAACTTATTTTTATTCTTGTATCTAAGTGTAATACCCAACAAATTATGAGTAAATTAAATTTAGTTCCAATTAAGTTAAATTGTCAATAAAAGTTTAATTAATTTGTATATCATAATGCGACCAATATTGGCAATATTCAAAACATAAATATACAGAAATATAAATGTTTAAAGTTGACCGTAAAATAAATACATATATGTGTATAGTTTTGAGTTATACATTTTTTAAAATAAAAATCTAATTATCTAATTTACTTAAAAAAATAGGGTGATAGATCATTAATTTTCTAAATACATAATAAAATAAAATGTATTTAAATTAAACATGTGATAAAAAAAATTAATAAATAAATAAAATATAATAATTTATCTTCAGATACCGTCTCACAGGAATAATTGCATATATAGAGCCAAGTGGATTAAGCGGAATAGGTCATTATATAGCATATGTAAGACGCCTGAGTGGACAATGGGAACAGCACGACGATCTCACTCGCACAGTTCGGAAAATTAAAGATAAAATGCGTATAGTTCCACATACAATTTTTTATATAAAGCAATAAAAATAATAACTTTCAATTTTTTATTGATGCTTTATTTTATTATATAATGTAATTGGTAATTATTTTATTTTGATTAAGATTTCAAAGGTTTTGAATATTTAAAAAATATTAATTTAAATATAATATAGGTAAGTAAGGATTTTATTGATGAAAAGAGAAATTTTTTTTTTATAATTTTTTAGTATGTGTTTGAAGTAAATTTTTTAATTTATACCTTGTTTGTTTGTATAATATATAATACATTTTTTATATTTTGATTGTTTCGATTTCAAAAGTTTTAAATATTTTATAAATATTAATTTGAATGTCATTATAACTTTATGCAAGAAAAGAAAATATTGTTTTTCATCATTTTTTATTACGTTTAGGAATTTAATTTTATACTGATATTTTTTTGTTTGTATAATAAATAACTATATTATATTTTATTTGTTGAAATTTTTTAAACATGAGAATTATCAAAAAAAAATTAAAAATAGGTATGTGATATTAAATATACGTCATGTTGTTACATAAAAATATATAGTATACTATAATGTTATCTACTTTAAAAATAAACAATTTTTAACTATGATTCGGAAAAGCATACACTATTTCCAATTATCAGTATTATTTTTATGATAGTTTAGATCTAAGAGCAGCTTAAAAATGTATAGATTTTACTAAGATGTATATTTTTTTCTGTCTGTCTGTCTGTCTGGAACAATTTGGATGGTAAAAATGCTCCGATTTTTATTTTTCGATTTTCTCTATAGTTATTTAATGCTACGGGAAAAACCAATGAAAAATTACAAACAATCGCTAAAAAAATTTAATTCCTAACACTTAGCTCATTACCATGGAAACGAAAAAAAAATTAACTAATTTATCAACCGTAATAATAATAAGTGAAATATTAAATACAAAAAATTGCTAACAGCTCAGAATCATTTTTTGTTTTATATGGCTTATCGTTGTATTCAAATATAACACAAACATTGCAAAAACTGTAAAACAGAGTGGTACCCACTTGACTAAACTTTTAATATTTTTTTAATATTTTTATATAATAATTAAAGTTGAATTAAAATAAATCATTTTTTACAAAATTTAGGACTTTCTTGAATAATAGTATTATCTTGTTGTTGTGGCTTTCAGGTATTCAATTTTAACCTCTATACTGTATTTAAATATTTTATGTCTGATGACATACATAAAAAGAGGTTACTGTGAAGTCAGGGGAAATTTTTTAAAAATTCGTATAAAATCAACAGAGTTCCAACAAATGGCGAGAGCTTTAAAACAACGTCCAACAAACTGTCGCCAACAGTTTTGGATGGCTTTTGGAACTTTTAAAAAAAGTTGGCCGATGGTGTGAAGTTAGCGGCACTTTTTCAAAAATTCGTATAAAATAAACAGAGTTCCAACAAATGGCGGGACCTTCCCAACAATGTCCAACAAACCGCTGAGAACAATTTTGTATAGTTTATTATGTGTTTGATTTAATGTTGGCCGTTAGTGTGAACTTAGCGGCGGTTTTGGAAAAATGTTTATAACTTTTTAATGACGGTCCAACAAATTGTAAAACCTTTCCAACAATGTCCAACAAACGTCCAACAAAATTGTTGGATAGGTTTAATTGAAATCTGTTACATGATTGCCGCTAAGTTCACGAACGTCAAAAAATTGCCCTCATAGAAAGGCAAACAGTAGCATTAGAAAATATAGCTGCTGCTAAACAAAATAAATTGTAATTTATGCTATACAATTGGTTTAATTTAGTAATTAAGACTAGTTATGATTTTTTAAATTGTATATAATTTAAAATATATAGTTATGATTTTTTTAATTACTACCAGTTTATACTAGTTTGTTTCTATTATTTATGTAAAGGAGGTTCCTAAATAATCAATTTTTTTTTTTAATATTAATTTTGATGGGGTCAATTCTCGAACGGCGCTATCTAATAGTCGTATACGGCATAAAGGAATTGTCGAACGATTTTTATTATTTCCTATTCTTCAATTTCATATGACACGCTAGCGAATGAAAAGTCGTACGACTTCAAAACGTATGACTATAACCACTCGTCAAGAAGTAGTCGTAGACTACTTTGTATGCCTCCATGGATAATGTTGTATTAATTACAATAACCACACACAATTTAGATAATATATCGACTATCACAGTAGTTAATAAATAGATACCTAGTTCCGAACGTGCCCGTATTCCGAACGTTTAAAAAGTACTAAGTTGTAATTTTGATTCATATTTCATTAGGATCTAGCTACTTATATAAAAGACGTACCTATTTAAATATAACTATGGCTAATTTTGATGAGTTGGCAAATTTAATTCCAATTCAAAATGCACAACACCAGCAATATTTTCAAAGAAATCCAAGAATTCGCAATAATAAGATTATTAATTCTTTTGAACTTTCGGACTCGGCATTTGTAAAAAATTACAGACTAACTAAGAATTTGACTAACATTTTGATACGACAATTATGTCCGCATCTAAAGATAAAAAAAAGATCATCTGATTTAGACGCATCAACAAAGGCAAGTTATTTAGATTAGATAGGTACCTACATATTTTTATAATATAAAACATCCAAACTTTTTATTTATATGACTTTTATACACGGATAAACACCTATATGAGTAAAATAACTATTATTATCATAGAACAATAATATTATTTAGCTTGTAAGAATGCTGTGCGGCTGCGGCTTTCCCTGGTGGCACGTGAATGGCGCGGGATATTGCCGGCAACCTGAAATGCCGGATGAAAACAAGGTAGTGGATGAATTATAAGGAAAAAGACTCGGATATTATAATTTTAGTGGACTGTATTGAAACTAAAGATTATTTACTAAATTTACAGATAACGGGACGGGGGGGTCCTTAAATCTAAGACTGTATTAACAAAAAAAAACTTTACAGACATTGATATTTTAACAATGATTTAAATATAAAATGAACATCACCGGATTTATCCCTGGATGACCTGACGGTGTCCGACGATGTAATCCATGAATACGCAGCGAGGGGGCGTCAACCGAAACGACACAGTGCAGAT